TTAAAATGCTGGTGTGCGTTATCAGTCTTCAGAACTAGAATACATTACACACTTTCTATACTTCCTGGGCTTCGGATTCTTTTTTTTTTTTTCACACACATTTAGAAGGACAGAGGCTCTGTGGCATCCTCACTGAGAGCTTGTGCTTGTCCACACTATTCTCAGACTTTAGGGTTTGTACCCCATATGGCCAGTCCTTATCGTGGAATTCCCCAAGAAGAGGCAGAGCTTCCTCCTGGCTTCCTCGCTAGGCAGTGCCCTTGTGGATCTGCCAGGATGACTGTCGTCTGTGCGCATGCTCAGGAATGACAGCCATCTCTTAGGGAGGGCCCTCCTACACCCGATCCTGCCTTGCCAATGTTTTCCACGTGTTACCAGTGCCGCTTCCCTCAAGATGCATTTCCTACCAGGAACGACGGCACATATCCGTAGTCCCAGCACTCAAGAAATTGAGGCAGGAGGTTCATGAGTTCAAGGCCAGCCTCGGGCTACAGAGCAAGGCCCTGTCAGAAAAGAAAACAATGTGTACTTTAAAAATCATGTTGCAACTAATCCATGGCTCCTCACATTCTTCCAAGTTGCCTCTTACGTCTTCAGTTGTATTGTAGAAGCCAGAATGGGTACCTACCTTTCAGGAAAGCCTCACTGGCTCCAGGATGGCTGACGGAAAGGTCTATGAGACTATTCCTGAGGGAAATTCTCAGTGGTGAGACTTCTCTTTCATCAAAGGAAGGCTGACTTGAGGGAGACTGGTAAACTGAGGCAGGAGGCAAGTGCCCCATCCAGGCTGGTCCAGCCCAGGTTAGAGTTCTTGTAAAGCACCCTTCTACTGTGTGCTATCTGGTGGCTTCAATAAGCTGACCTTTGGATCAGGGACCAGACTGGCTGTGCGCCCACGTGAGTATGACCATGCCAACGACCAGAATAAGAAGGCCTGATGACCTGTTAGTGTAATCTCTAGCAAACTTGGGGTGCACAAAACATCATTTCTTATTTCCACAGGCTTTTGTGGTGGCCGAAAGTGTTCCCAGTACTCATACTGAAGTCAGAGAGGGGCCAAAGTGAATATGAAAATCTGAACAGAATAATTTATAGGGAAAAAAAATTAAAAGAATTGCAGATACTCGGTGCTTTCAAGCGAAGCTGATAAGATCAGCACCCGATAACCTGAACATTCAGAAAATTAGCTAAGTGCCCTTGGGGAGGAAGAGATGGGTTAATGGCAAACACAAATTCTCTTTTATTGCTGCAGGTAGTTAAACTTCTGGGTTAGCTAATGAGTGTGGTAACAGGATGGCAGTTCACAGAGGCTTTTCTCAGAACTGAGTCGAGTCCCAGAACCCTCGCCCAAGGGTGAAAATGACTGAGCCCTGTGAATGGCCAGTGTCCTGCATGCTAGAATAAGGATAGAGCAGAAGATGGACAAGGAGGATGACGGAGCTGGGGTAAACTCGGCCCCACCTTCACCAGTTGTATTTAACACTGTTTCCACCTTCAGCAACAAACTGATAACACCACATCAGAATGTGAGATGTTGCCTGCACGTAACAAGAAACCCTTCCCTGGGAGAGTGTCTAATACATCCTTAGTACTATTATCATGGCCTTGCCATACTAAATTTTTACTATTGTAAAAAGAGAGGGCAACAGTTTCCTTGGTAAAAAGAAGTTGTAAGAAGCCAAGAACTTCAGGACAGTTTAGGGTAGTATCCTGAGACCCCAATGGGCTCTAACAGAGTGGTATCACAAAGGCTTCTTCAGAGACCTTACCTGTAGTGGGAATTCAGCTCTAGCCCCAAACTAATCTTTGGAGCAGGGACCAAATTAAGCAATCCTCCAAATATGGAGAATGAGGCAAGGATAGAATGCACAAGTCCTTCCTCTTCCTCTCTGTCCAAGACACGGGTGTTTTCTTCTGCAGGATCTTAAATGATTCTAGAAAGAACCCATCCCACCCAGCACTAAATACTGGGGAAACATTATCCCCACATTGACCCCTTGGCAATCATGAGGTGGGTGATAATCTAGATCCTTCAACTGGAGGATCCAAGGTACCGCTGCTCTGAGCAGGGAGCTTTGATCTCCTGAGTTCTACTGAATTTATGGAAATTACAGTAGAACTGGACGGTAGGAAAGAACTACTCAGAGAAGAGACAGAATTGCAGTACCAGACAGCAGAAGGGCTAAGTCTTCAGACTATGACTGTCCATGCTGTGGGGGACCAGAGCATCTTCTGTCTATGGACTAGGTAGGTCTCCCGAGCTTCTGTAAAGGCGTTTCCTGCAGTGTGAACACTGGAGGACTAGGAGGTAAATTAACATTCGGGAAAGGAACCCGAGTGGCGGTACTATCCGGTGAGTCATCCCAAGTGGTACCATTGGCAACCCTGTAGGTCAGTGTCATCAATCCTTTCCCTGGAGATGGCCATTGTTACTATGGCAGGGTGAGGCTTATTGGGGGTATTATACTAACTGTTTTACAGAGGTCTGCAAAGGGGGAAAGGCACCACTATCAATCTTAAATATCTGTGTTTCTCTAGGTCAAACTCATTAAAATATGACTTTACTCATTCAGCGGACACTTTTAAATGCCTTCTAAGTAGCTATCACTCTAGATAATGTTAGGCTGAGAATAAAAAAGCCTAAGATAGATGTCTGACCTGTCCCCAAACAGCATAAAAACTAGCCAAAGCTTGAGAACACTGTACATTTAGCAAGCTAACGAACTCTTTCAGTGTCGACAACTGGTGGTGGGGATAAAAAAACTCAGATGGGTTCAAGCCCTGGTAGAAGGTGCCCTAGAGAGAGGCTCTTTTCTGTGCTGGAAAAGATTTGCTGAGCCTCGACAGATTGATAAGATCTGTATGGGGAGGAGGGGGGCAGAATTCCAGCAGAGGGAAACAAGAAAAAAGATCTGCTCTTGGAATAAACAAGGCACAAGCCTTTTGGCCTGTGTAGGCAAATCTGATAATAAAAAGGGACGAAAAGAACAAACCAAAAAAGAGATACTAGCCAGGCAGTGACTTTTAATCCCAGCACTTAGAAGGCAGAGGCAGGTGGATATCTGTGAGTTCGAGGCCAATCTGGTCTACAGAGCTAGTTCCAGGACAGCCAGGGTTACACAGAGAAACCCTGTGTAAAAGAAAGAAAATAAAAAGAAAGAAAGAGAGAGAGAGAGGAGGCATTAGGAGGGCTATGCAGATAGATTGGCCATCTTTCCTGAAAAGCCTGTGGTACTGTTTCCTGACGCTGTCCAAACCTGAATGGGGCCCACATCCACGTCAATAACTCTCATTTCTGAGTTCCCAGTGCTTAACTACAGGGCACAGATTCAGTGGCGAGGGCGTTTTCCATCACCGCAGTGCCCCTGGGGACCTGCAGGCTAATACGTTCAGACATGGCCTTCTGTATTTGTTTTGAATTGTGATGACAGGTTAGGATCCAGAACAGCTGAACTTACAGTTGAAAAATTGATCCAGTCCTGCTAAAGTGACCTCTGATGCCATTCAGTGGTAAAATGTGTTTTTCTTATGAGGTAGGAATAGGATGTCTCTCACCACGGGGCTCTGAGAGACAGAACCCCAAAGACCTCCCATTAAAGGTGATTTGTTTTTGATTTTCGGGGAAAAGGTAAGGTGGCTGTAGATATCTGTGGAGCCGAAAAGGAAAGGGCCTAAAAACTAGGAAGCTCCTGTCCGGCAGCCTTCTCTGTCTGAAAGGGGCAAAGCTCCATGTCTGACCATGGCGCCCACCCAGCTCTGCTGCTCCACGGGCAGCACCAGGCTCCAGGCAGCTCTGTCTTAACTCAGCATCCTAGAGCTATGCCGGCGCCTGATGTCTTTGGTTCAGGATCCAGCTGGAAGCCTGCATCGCCAAGGCCACCCTGGTTGTCTCAGTGAGCAGAGAGCATCACCCAGATCTGAAAAACTTCCATGCATAGTGAAGAGCTGTGGGAGAGGGGAGCACAGGACAGGGCGTTCTGGTCCCAGCCCTGCTGAAAACTCTCTAGGTGGTCTGTTGTGTTAAATCCTTCTGGCCAGCCTCCGCTTCCTCCTCTGAAGGTGGAAGGGGTAGGGAAACTACTCAGCGAGAGTCACATTCAAAACAAAATCCCTCAGAAAAAGTCAAGAATTGTCTCGGCACTGAGGAGAGGCCTCCAGTAGCTCCCCGCCTCCTGGAATAAGGAGACAGTGTGATTGGTTTGCTCAGTAGTACATTTTCATGGTGAAACTCTGGCACACTTGTTCAGTGCTGTGTGGTTGATTAGGTTCATTTGACTTGGAGAAATATTCATTTTTCTCAGAACAGCCTGGTTGGAAAGGTGGGTGAAGGAGCATGTCCATTTTATATGTGAAAGTTCTTAGACTTAAGCCGCCCGTTGACCTAATCAAGGCCATTGGGAGTAAATTACAGAGTCAGGACTTGGATGTGGGTATTTTGGTTTGTTACTCAAAACATTTATCAGTGAGAGAGAAATCGCCTGGTGATGTGATAGATTTTTTCCAACTTAATGTCTAAATAGCACAGGCCTGCATTTCCCGCCAGTGTCCAGCTTACTTGGGGGACAGCACTCCAGAGGGATAGCTTGGTCCCTGGGTCCTTTCTTCTAAGCTTGTTTGCGTCCTGCCAGAGCAAATTTGTTGACTAGACTTCCTGAGGTTTTGAAGACGCCGTTAAGTCGAAGAATGACAAGCTGGTTTAGTGGCCCCACCTTTCTGGTTTTCCAGAATGCCAGACTGGACCACGTGGAAAGTGACGACATACCGAGAGCTTGAGATCTTGGCCAGGACTCATGACTTGTGCCTGTCCCTAAGCCCCAGTCCATCGTGAACAGCTGTTTCTAAGATGTCACTTCTGGTATAAAGCCTCAGAACAATACCAGCTAACCCAGAGAGCTCTGCCCTTGCCTGTCACTGGGTTCTGAGTTCTGGCCTAGGTTAGGACACAAAAACTTTAAAAAAAAAAAAAAAATCATTCTAACATCAGTCCTCTTGGCCCACAGACATCCAGGACCCAAAACCAGCAGTATACCAGCTGAGAGATCCTAAGTCCAAGAACAGCAGCATCTGCCTGTTCACCGACTTCGATTCTCAAATCAATGTGTCAAAGGACATGGCGTCTGAAGTGTTCATCTCTGACAAGACTGTGCTGGACATGAGGTCTATGGATTCCAAGAGCAACGGAGCAATTGCCTGGAGCAACCAAAATAGTTTCAACTGTAAAGATGCCTTCAAGGAGAACGCCTCCTACCCCAGTTCAGGTGAGTGCTGCCCAACGCGATCTCCTTGCTTCGGGAGAGGCCCAGCTCATGTCTGTGGTGTCTAAAAGCTGCTTTGGGTCATGTGCTCATCAGCTGTCGTCAGAATCCACATCCTGTTTTACTTAGGAGTACTGAGCCCTGTCCCAGCAGGCCACAAATGCCTGGCCCTCCAGCAGACCAGAGAACATGATACAGGGCCTCGGCCCGGCATTGACTTCTCACACCTTCCTGTCTTTGTTTGAGCCTCTTGCCCTCTCTGAGCTCGCAGGCCCAGTTTCCATGCCCTTCCTGCCCTCCCCTGCTGCCTGCCCTGATTTCTCTGTCTGCCAAGAGTGTGAGGGTACCAAGTCTCAGATGCTGGAGTGACGTCAGGAGTCAGAGGAGGAGGCTGCCCCTAGGGAGCACCATTCTAATCGAGGAAGACCATCTCTCAGCAGAGGGACATGTAAATTACGTCAGGCTGTAATTAATACGTGCATTAACTTAGAGGTGAGGAAAGAACCACCTCAGAGAAGGGCTCTGAGGAAATGCTACCACGCTACAACTCAAAGGTTAAGAAGGGACCAGCCGTGCCTAGGCCAGAGAGGACCCTGTCAAAGCCCAAGAAAGGAGAGTGCTGAGAACAAGGGAAAGCTGCAGGAAATAAGTTGGAAGATGTAAATAGGGCCAGATCATAAGTGGAGGTCACCTTCACCTACACGGCAAGTTCAAGGCCAGCCTGGACTACCTGAGACTCTGTCTCCAAAAACAATTCAATAAAATAAAATACAAGGCTGATTGCTGCATGGAGGGTGGATTGTAGGTCCAGCAGAAGAAAGAGAATGCAGGAGAGGGATGATGGAGTCCCTACCAGGTGCTGGTAGGGACTCCAGTGGCCAACACCACTTGGGCTTCAAGGACAGAACCATACACAGAAGAAAAAGCAATGAGGTGTCAAGGAAGGCGGCAGAGCGTCTGAGTCAGTGGGACTAGATACTCAGTAGGAGATAACAAAGGAAAAAAGTGGGATTCAGAACTTCTTGGAATACACGGAAATATATGGCCCTAGTCACTGTGAATATGTCTCACTGCCTTCACTGGTCTCTGGGCTGAAACCTGCCCGAGTCCAGGGACTATTTTGACTTTGTGGTCCATGTCATGCAGCATATACTTTGCACAGCCAGCGTTTGCTGAAAGAATGAGAGGGTGCCCAGAAGTCGGGGCATTGGTCCTACCGGGACCTTTGCACCATTGGATGCCCCTGGGCACTGTGTCCCCCAGTTCTCTCCCAAAGAATCACAGAAAAGCCACATGGTTTAGACTCAAGAAAATGTCTTTGTTTTTCTTTTTAGACATTCCCTGTGATGCCAAGTTGATAGAGAAAAGCTTTGAAACAGGTAAGAGAAGGAGCTGCCCAATTTTGCATGATGCAGGAGGAAGCAATGAGCCCATAATTACCCTTAGTGCACAGGGGAGGAGAAGGGGTGGATCTGGGGGTGGGAGCGGCACCTCCACACCTAGTCCCAGCTGCCCACGCTCTGTCTTGGATCCCTCCAGCGTGGTTAGCTTCATTTTCCATTCTCCGTACTAAGCAAGCTGTGCCTTCGGTCTCACTCGGCCAGTGAGGCACTCCCCGGCCTCTGTCATAGATCCTCGGTAAGGACAGCTAAAGAAAGCAGCTGTGGAGCTTGTGGGTTCTTTCAGAGCAGCCCTGCACTAACCGTGTCACTCTGAGGACACTGTCCCTCTAGAAGCTCCTTTCTAGAAAGGCCTAGAACTCACATGGCCTCAGGCAAAGGTCTTGTCCCAGTGCAACCACCTAACTGAGTCATCACTACTGTGGTTTCACTGAGGGGCCCAGGCCCACAGGGTTGAGAAGACATGTCCTGAGCACCTACCCCAACCCCACGTCAAAGCCTGCAGGGCCTCGGAATAGTATATGGCCTAAGTCCTTTGGGTGGTTTTTGTCTTAAAACACAATGCTCTTGCCCTGGAGGAATACACAAACACCTTTGCCCTGGGGTGTGCACAAAAGCTAAAAGAAATGGATCCGGGAGTTGAAGTCGCCCACACCCAACCTAACCAGCTCTTGGGAAAGTCCACGGTGCCTTGCTGTACAGACCTCTCATGCACACACCCCTAACGGCTATGACCTCTTGGTTTTACAGATATGAACCTAAACTTTCAAAACCTGTCAGTGATGGGACTCCGAATCCTACTCCTGAAAGTGGCCGGATTTAACCTGCTCATGACGCTGCGGCTGTGGTCCAGTTGAGGTGAGAAGTCGTCAAAGCTTGGAGAAGGGTTAGGGGATGGGGGTTCAGGCTAAGACCCAGGCCTGAGAGCAAACCACCTCCCATGGGAATTTGCTTTTAAATAAAGCAAAATTTTTAAATAAAGACTGGACCCTCGGGCCTTTTCTATTACTCCCTGTTACAAGTTGCTGTTGTAATAGTAGCCTGAAGCGTGGTTAACAGAACACACTCCTTTTAGAATCCTCAGCTTAGCCACGCCTCTCCTCAGATATATGTGGAACAGCTCTGATTATCCTTATTTAGAAATGAAGGCAGTGGGGTCAGGTCACATCAAGAGCCACATAGCCAGTGAGTAGAGGAGGAGAGAAAGTCCAACTCTGATGCATATGGACCACGTGCCTCTGGCCCCGCCTCTCAGAGTGGAACCCCCTTTCCTGGGTTCCTGCTCCTAGCAAGCTCTCTCAGCTCGATGCTGGAAGACACTACATTGGTTACCCCCTAAGCCTGGCTCGAGTCATCATGTGCTTGCACCCTGACAAGGCCCCCAGTCACCTGGCACAGCCCCAAACAAAGCCATCCCCATGGCATCCCCGAGTCCTAGTGGTCAACACCAAGCCTGACCTCTGCTCTTTCCTCACTCCAGGTCGGCAAGACGGAAAGAGGCTGAACTCCCCAGCTCCTTCCTCTTCATCACCCCTCCTCTCCCTCTTCAAGCAAAAAGGAGCCCTCCCACCCCATAAAGAAGGCTCTCGGTCTGACTGGCTCACAATCCCGCCGCCGCCGCCGACTGGATCTCCTGACTTTGTGAAGGAGATTGCTGAACAGCTGCTAAGAGCTACTATACCTACTGCTGCTGGCCATTCACAGGAAAGGCAGGGGCTGCGACTTCTCCTGGATATGAAGACCCCCCACTCCCCCGCTTCCCCACCACCCCACCCCATCCCATGACAGATCCCCAGTAGAATCTCTTGGACCGCAGCTCCCGGAGAATGTTGTAAAGAACATGTTTTGGTTTTTGTTATAAAGCATCCATAAAGAACTCCACATTACCCTTTCCTCAAGGTGTAGAAAAGATGACCTCATTGTCTAGACCTTCCCTGCTACCGTGTGTGTCTGACCCACATTGTATATCGTTCTGCTGCCCATGACTTCATTAAAGATGACTCAGAAGAGCAGAAACTGTGATCCTATTTGACTGGGTTTGGTGGGGGCATTTTCACGCTGCTTATCACCAGCTGGGCAGAGAGAAACCGAAGTACGGGGATATCACGCAGCCCAGCCTCTTCTCGGAATGAACTCTTAAAAATTCCACTAAGCAAGCTGTGCCAAGGGCCAGGGAGCTCCTTTTACAAGTGTGTGTGTCCCGCTCACCCCACACCTCAGACGCGGGAGGGGTGTCCTAAGTTGTAGCTGAAACTTACCAGACAAGAATGACAAGTATCCCCAACATCGTCACCCACTGGCTCCTGCCCTCCAGGGACACATTCTTTTGCTTTCACACTCAGATTGACTTGTCGCTGAAACTGTGTTTTACCCTATAAACCGATGGCTGCGACTTGGCCAAGTAGGTGTCCTAAACTCTCACCTCCAGCAGCAGCGGGGGTCCCTGGGGCCTCCCAGCACACCTCTCTCTGCCCAGCCTCTGCCGTCGGTGGTCTCCTCTCCCCAAGGGTAGGGATTCTGATGGGAATACACTTGAGAGACCAGTGAACACCTGCCTGTTCCAGACCAAAATAGAGTACTTACTAACCCCCAGGACTCCCCCCACCACCACCCAATCCTTGCCCGGTTCCCCCTGGAGTCCGTGACCATGCGAGCCGGAAATACGCAAATCCTCCCAGCCGTAACCCAGGCTGCTGCTTCTCATAGAGATGGGGCTACCAGCTTTAGCGGGTGAGCTAGGCATGCCCCTCCCTTCTGTGAGCTTCTGGGTCACCATCTATATGAAGTGTCAGGTGGGACCGGAGGCTACCCACGGCAAAAACCCATGTCCCGTGTCCTGGCTGCCCCTGGTTAGAGTGACCACCGAATCCCATTACTTCTAAGCGGTCTCATCTCTCGCCGACACAGAAGCCTTTTAAGATTACTGAAGTGAACGGCCTTGGGAGACACCACCATGACAGGGCCACCCTCACACACGGGAGGAGGGGCTCCCAGGCCTCTTCCCCAAGCCCCTCCTCATCTGTCTGGCACGTTGCCAGAGAACTACTGCTGGGAATTTCTTTTAATTAAACCATTCTCTTCCCTGTATTAAATGAAAATGCCCCTGGGAAGGTTAGTAGAGCAAGCCTTTATCAACCATTAAAAACTTAGGGCAAATTAGTTTGTCTTTTTTTTCCCTCCTAAAGTGGTAATTCACTTTGTTCTACAAAAAAAAAAAAAAGATCCAGGCAAAGGAAGTGTGGGTGGTTGGGGAAGTAGGCATGCTCCTGAAAATTGGCTATGGTTATGCAGAAGCTGAAGGGGACCTTGTGGGCATGGGGCAGAGTAAGAAGCCTGGAAGACAGTAGAGAGGCCAAAGACAGACCCCTCCACTGACCTGTACTCTTACACCCAGGCCTCTGTTGAACCTCACTAGCCCAGAGCCATCAGACAGCAACTTCTAGAAGTCACTAGAACCCCAAGGTTACCCGAGGCCCATAGTGAGGTGCAGTGGCAGGGGCTGAAGATCCAGCCACACGCCTGGGAGTAAGGCTTCCTCCTTCCAGGCCCAACCCACCCTAGGTTGTGACAAGGCCCAGGCAGGCAGGAGGTCACCAAGAGATCAAGGTCACCTTCACCCCAGAGAAATGTCCATCCAATCAGAACAGGAACATCCCCTCACAGCTGGGGCTAAGTCTCCACAGGGGCTGAACAAGTGTTACAAACAGGCAGAGACTCCTTCGTGGCGGGTTCTAGGCTGACCACTGCTTAGTCTAGAAGGAAGGGGGCTACTGCAGAAACCTGAAGTCATGACAAAGAGACATGGTCAAGCAAAGGTCACAAAGCGGCCGCTGCATCTTAACCAGCCTGGACCAACTCACAGGGGGAAGGCACACATCCCCAGCAAACACCTTGCCAGGGCCAGCTGTAAAATGGATGCCTCTCGAGTCCAGAGTCCAGACAAACGCCCTGTTCCCTCAAGGGCTTTATGTAGACCAGCTCGGGCGGCAGAAAAATGGACCCCTCACGTCCCAAGGCCAGAACTGTGGAAGGTGTTTTGAAACTTCCCCCAGATAGTTGCCTCCTGAGTGCAGCCGGGGTCACAGTTCAGGCAGGCAGGAAACAGGCAGGCTGGACAGGCCTGGGCTATGGAGCATCCAGCTGTGACCACTCAGGCAGCCATCTGGAGCTTATAGGTTTGTTTGGTCTCATTTTGGTTCCGGGTACACCATAAAGTTCAACTCCCAAATCTCACGTGAGACCCTCCTACCGCTTATCAAGTGACATCTTGGCGGGGAAGTGTGCTGGACCGCGTGTGTTCCTTGGAATGGGAGGAGGACCTTGCTCATCAGTATGTCCTCGTGCTGGGTACCGGCACCCAACAGACACCAACGGATGAGCCAGTGAGGCCCCACACCATTAGTCACTGGGGAGGGGGATGGGCTCGAGAGGGAAGAAAGAGGACATCAACGGAGGAAGTGGCCAGGGGAGCCACCGTTTCAGCTCCTCAAGGAATAGAGTAACCTGGCAAACTGTCAATAACGAAAACGGGAGTGGAGGCCTGTTAATGAGGGCCGCCGTGAGGGCAAGCACTCACCGTCCCCCTGAATCCTGGAGGACACTTACTAGGAAACACAGGCTTCTACAAGTCTCAGCTCTGGTTATACACGACCACTGACACCCAGGGCCAAAGGTCCCTTGATGTCCACTTCCGTTTTTCCTGTGAGCCACACTAATCCCCCGGACCCTACTTCCCTCAAGCAGCATGCTGGAAGAAGGGCTTTGGGCTTCCTTAGTACAAGGGGGCAAGGGCTCTGTCCAACCCACCCTGCCCTGGACAGGAAGTGAAGGCTGCCTCTGCCCACACATAGCTAGGGCCGGTTCTCCACGGGATCCTTCCAGAGTGAGTGTGAGAGACCTGTCAAAGACCGTGACCCTTGCTGACGCCTCTGCTGGCTACTGGGGCAGTCTGAAGGACCACCAGCCCCTGCTTTGTGTAAAGGCCACATGAGCAACGCAGCAAGCTTCGGGCCTCTCTTCACCCAGACATGTAAGGCACAGGATCTTCTCCAAGAACCACACAGACAGCTGCACCCTGAAGCGGTAAGCTGGTCAGATACTGAATCAATAGCCAAAAGTAGAACAGGAAGTGGAAAGAGTTGCCCACTTCCCTCCAGGTGTTGGGGGCTGAATAGCCTCCTCCCACTTCCGTGACGTCATGGTTGCTGACAGGGGCAAACAGGGCACCCTTTGAAGCTCTCCCGCAGAAGCCACATCCTCTGGAAAGAAGAGTTAAAAATACAGAGTCAGAGATAGCATCTCTCCAGGCCACGTGCCCAGAAGAGGTAGGCTGGGCCGTTAGACCGCAGCCCAACCACAGGTGCAGAAAAGAAGGCCACCAGGCACACGGGGAGGGCCCGGCAGGGGCGGGGCTCGCAGGCCCGGGGGCCCGCAGGGGAGGGGCTCGCAGGCCCGGGGTTCGCGGGCCCCGGTGCTAACACCCATGCCCAACAACCGGCTGGGGAGGCGCTGCTGCTCCACTCCCCAGAAGTCGCCCTCCCCTTGACCTCTATTGCCCCCAAATTAGACCATTCTGTGTACTTAGTGCAAGGGAGAAAGCCTATGTCCAGCCCACCTTGCGCTGGACAGGGTACGAAGCTGCATCTGCCCACACCCACTCCTAAGGCTGCTTCCCCAAACGATACCTTCCACGAGAAGCCCCATACTTTCTCGTTCCCACTCTAGACTGAGATTCAAGTGTCACAGCCCTGGTGGACATCTGTTTTTCAGGGTCCAAGGAAGCCACAGAACCTGAGACCTGAAAACCCTCTGTCTTGGTGTCCCAGTCTGTTGTAGTGTCCCAAGATACCCACACGGGGGCAGCAGTACTCCACCAAAAAAGGCTGCTTCTCCCTTGGTCTATTTTTTTTTTTTTTTTCTGGATAAGGAAAACCCACAGCCTAGGAAAAACTCTTTCCAAGGGAAAATAAAAAGGGCAGGTGACTTCCATTTCACAAGCTCCTGCACTGTGCCAGTCACTGACTGCACCGGACTCCAGACTTGTGTGATCCTGTTACTCGGCACAGAGTCTAGGGTCAGGTCCTCAGGCAGCAGGGGGCACTGCCTGCCCAGGTTTATGAGACCCACCTACAAGAGGAACCCAGAGAGCTGCCACCCTGCTGGAAGCCAGGAGGGCACAGCAGGTGGAATATGGGAACCTGGCTGGCCCAGGATCCACGGCTCCACTCCTCGTAATCTGTAAGGCCACAGCCTCAGTTTCCCACTTTGTACCAACATTCTCTCTTAGGTAGTTTGGGAACCAAGGCTTTCTTCACACGGGATACCTGTCAGGGAGCAGACGCTGTGCCGGGTTTCAGGGACTCTGTGACTCCATACAGATGAAGTTGAAGGACAAGTCAAAGGGATAGCCCATGACAGGCACTCACATGCTGGTGTCTAGAGGGGGAAGGATTGGTGGGAACGGAGCACACAGGTTTGGAATTCGGGGCTGCTGACCTGGAATCTGGATGGTGGGTACATCGGGACAGATGCCTGTCAAAACGCATCAAGCTGGAAAAACCTGAGTTTACTGCATTTGTGTGTATAAACTAAACTCAACAGTCCAGGCAGTATGTGAGTGTGAGAGATGTCAGTGGCTGGAATTTCATGGCTTCTGTTAATATCTTATGCAGGCAGGGGTCAGACACAGCAGGGGTTGATCTGTGAGCATCACTGTCCCTCCCCAACCTTCTTTCCTAGGGCTTTTAACTTTACTCTGTCTCAATTTTTCATTCACTTGGAGACAAAAGCGCATGCCCACCTACTTCCCAATGTTGTTGAAGGGACTGGAAGACCTAATGGGAACGCTGATGCTTAGTGAACTGGAATCCCCAGGCAGATGTAAAGCAGTGGGATGTCAGATGAGCAGAAGGATGGACCACAATCCTGCATGCAAGATGGCCTGTGTTTGGTCAGATGCATCCATGCTCCCCCATGCTGAGATAAAAGCAGACTGCTGCTTTAAAACACCAATGCCCAGGTATACTTGGGGCTCACCAGGCCCCCACTTAGCAGATGGCCACGTCTCCCATTATCGTGACCCCAGCACCTTCTCACTGTCATGAACATTTGTTGCTCCTTCCGTGGCTTCCAGGTTCCAGCTTCCAGCTTCCGGGATGTCAGGATGGAGAAATTTCAGGACCACGGGGCCCCACGGTACTCCATGGCCTCCCTGACGCCTCTCACTGTATCACCCTCGAAGAGACACGTTTCTTTCCTCCTTTCCGGCACCCCCGGGACTTCCCTGATTGGAGGACTCCTTGAACCAGCAGGACACGGTGTGCCTCCCACAGGCAGGTTTTCTGAGCAGCCTTCCTCCTCAGGCCAGGATGCCCCCACGTCCCGAAGGGCTTCCCGCCTTTGAGAGAGGAGCCCAGGGTGTGCTTGCTTTGGGGGTGTGAACATATGCCCCATCCAGAGGCCTCGGTATCACAGTTCCAAAGCCCTCCTGAAATCCACTGTGGACTGTCCGGTTCCACCCTTCCTCTCAA